ATAGACTTAAAGTTCTATTCATAGTTGAGCTTTGGCTAACTTTGTATTTTGTGATGCTAAAAGGAAAAAGAAGCCCTCCTAAATACATCAACATGATTTTTGACTGACCCAATCATGTGAAACATTTAGATTTCATCTTTTAAAATTTATATTTTCTGAAGTTTCTACCATGAACATGTATTCATTTCATACTAAGAAAAAAGTGATTATTTTAACAATAAATCCCTCCTTGCAATTATCACCTAAATAATCATTATGTCACATTCAAGTATTTAGACAATACCAGTGTTATTTTTACCAAAGACACTTTTTTAACAAAACTCTAATATCCAGAAAACATGAAGCAAATCTGGACTGATCGACTGAATAACTACTATCTATGGTTGAATTAGTTAGTCCGTGCCCTCACTGAACTCCTGGGAGCGTGGTGATGGTCAGAAAATCACCTTGTGGGGTGCCTGGGTGGCTCGGTCATTGGGTGTCTGCTTTTGGCTTGGGTCAGGATCGTGGGATCAAGCCCCGCATCAGGCTCCTTGCTCTGCGGGGAGCCTGCTTCTCCCTCTCCCATTCCCTTGCTTGTGTTCTCCCTCTCTAGCTGTGTCTCTCTCTGTCAAATAAATAAAATGTTAAAAAAAAAAAAAAAGAAAGAAAAGAAAAGTCACCTGTGACTTGTCACCTTGAGGGCTTGTGACTTCCTTCTTGGTGCTGGGGCTGAAACCCCTCCCAACCCAAAGCCCCCCTCAAGCAGCTCAGCTGCTATAGAAAAGCATCTGTTCTTGTCCTTGAATAATTCTTTTTTAAAAAATTTTTTACTTTTTATCAACATATAATGTATTATTAGCCCCAGGGGTACAGGTCTGTGAATCGCCAGGTTTACACACTTCACAGCACTCACCATGGCACATACCTTCCCCGGCATCTATAACCCAACCACCCTCTCCCTACCATGAATAATTCTTTTTAAATGTTTGGAATCAGGGTTGCATAAATCAACTCAATATAATATGCATTACTTTTTTCATAAATGTATATAATAGCACGATGATATTTTGCTAGTTACTTTTATTTTAAAAAATCTGAGAACCATCTATGTTCTACAAGAAAAAAAAATGAGGCAGATTTCAAACCAAAGTGAGTATCCCTTTGTCAATTATACTTCAATTCTTAAAAAAAAATAGTATCCCTAACTGGTTTCTCAGAACTGTTTTTTTCTGGAAACTGGTGAGGCTTGCTGATCTCTGTTCCCAATAATGGGTAGGAAAATCATGTTTATTCATCTCAATTTAGCACATTATTAAACCATCTTCCACCTTCAAAAGTTATTAAAACCTGGCTTTGATGTCTGGAGACTTCTTTCATTAGCCATAGAAATAATGATATGGGTGTGAGCTTACAGTATTCCCTATACTGTCCAATAAGCCTGCTGAGTGGTATCACTGAAATAAGCTAACGGCCTCCAATGTAATTCTACACGGGATTAGTAATGCCAGGGAGTTCCCTAGCTTTTGTTGATAGTAACAGCTGGAAAGAGAAATTCCATCCCTGTAAACTGCTGTCTAGGATTACACTGATTCTGTTTCTGTAATTAAAACCTTACAACTGGGGCGCCTCGGTGGCTCAGTGGGTTAAAGCCTCTGCCTTCGGCTTGGGTCATGATCCCGGAGTCCTGGGATCAAGGCCCGCATAGGGCTCTCTGCTCAGCATGGAGCCTGCTTCCCCCACCCACCGCCTCTCTGCCTACTTGTGATCTCTCTCTCTGTCAAATAGATAAATAAAATCTTTAAGAAAATAAGAAATAAAAAAATAAATAAAACTTTGCAAGTATAACCAAACGCTCATTAACCTGATAAACTCTGAGGAAGAGAGGAGCTGACAGAGTTTTAGATGAAATGATACTATGTGGGCAAACGCTTTCAACTTTTCAGTCACAGCCATGCCCTGCTATTTGGTGTGGGGACAGAAAAAGGAGAGGATCGTTCTCCCTTTACCTTATACATGGGGGTGAGCTAATGAATGGCGTTATGATGTTCACAAGTGGTCAGCAAATCATTTTACAAAAATGAGATGTGTGTAATGTTGGGTGCTCAAACAAGTTTTTGTAGTTTCCTGAAGAGCACCGATACAAACCCTATCAAGGTTATTTGGCCATGACTATCCTATGCTCTTGGATTTGTTAAATGCGGGGTGGGGGAGCGGTGGAAGTAGGGAGTAGGGACGGGACCAGGAGGGGACACGACACCATTTCCTTTGAAAGCCATTCTTATTCTTAATTCAAGGGCAAGTGTGGAACAAAAGCTTTTGTTTAAGAGGGATTTGGGTGTTTTGACTGCTCCAAGCTAGGTTAAGAGCTCTTACTCCAAAGCCAAAATGGAAAAGGCAATAAAGGTCACAGGTTGGCGACGTATTCCTCTCCTGGTTCCCCCCACCGGGGGGCGGGGTGGGAGGGTACCTGGCTGCACAGCTTCTGGACAAGAGTTCTGGAGTGAGACTGGGAATTTCTTAGCCTTGCGACTGGCGCCCTCTGTTGGCAAATGCAAACATTCACTCCCTACAGGGACTGCTAGCCGGCAAATCATTTATTCACCGTTTCCCTCCCACTTATTTGTAGAAAATACTACAACTAGCTTAGTAGAACACAAATGGGGCTACACTCCTGGGGCTATATAGCACCCCAGGATGAAAGAATCCACCCCCAATGATAGTTTCTCTGTTAATTCATTACAAAACAGCTCAAGCCTTTTGTCCAACTTCTATGTTTTAAATCTGGGGCAAAACTGATGACCTCTTCTCAGAGCGAAGAATACCCTGGGCTATGCTGTCTGTCGGTCTTGGCAAAAGAGAAAAATTCTAACACAGGAAAGGATAGATTAGTGGTTTTACATGACTTTTCACAACACAAGGGCTATGTAAATTCTTATTTGTCTTTTAAAATGTGGATATGTAAATACACACGTTTTAGCATAGGCATAAAGTATGTCATATATATCACCTTTTTGTGGAAGTATATGCAAGAAAACTTATCTTTTCAAGGAAGGACCAAAGATAAGGGAGGGAGAACTTCACTGCCCATTTTATACCTTTCTGTATTGAGTTTTACTACAGGCACTTATTACTTTATTTAAAAAACTAAATATTTAGATGAGATGTTTCAATTCTAGAATATTCACATATTATGGAACATTTTAATATATAGGTTTTGAATTAAAAAATACTAATATCATCTAAAAGAACAGTTTCTAAGAATGTTTAGTAGCCACATTAAAGGCCAAAGTATAAAAAGTGCCAGAAATGTCTATAAATTTAGATACAAAATCTAAGAATTAATTATTTTAGTAATTAATGGAAAGTGATAATAGAATTATTAATTTTAATTTATTATTAATGGGAATTAATAATAAATGGAAATTAATGGGAAGTAATAAGATTAATAAACAATTAGAAAACTTATAACTCTATAATAATGCCTTTGAGACAGAGTTCTTTCAAGAACCAGTTCTGAGTAGGTCTCTTTAACACATGCTACCGATTAAAGAAAAAAAACCTACACAACAGAGAATGGATCTTCATGTCTATTAAGCAAACGAAGCCTACAATTTGAGTACTTGACACAAAGTACAATTCTACCTTTTAAGGTGATCGTTCATAGTTACACTAAGCGCTATCATTTTCTCCTTACCAGATATCTGTTACTTACTAGATATCTGTTTAAAAATACCTTTTGGTCAGGGAAAACCTCCTTGGATTATAAAAGGCAGCTTGAAAGATATTATATCAGTTCTGATTTATTTCACTTCCTGGCCACAACATAGTGCCATTTTCAGAACTACACCAAATACACAGCTTGTTACTGAGCTTAGCAGCCCTCATGAAAATGTCAGTGTTACACAAACTGATCTTTAAAATCTATTCTTTTTTAATGAATTAAATGTAAATGGGAGCCCTTGGTATTCATTATTCATTTACTGATTTGACAAATATTTATCAAGCACCTTTCATGTTCCACTGAAGGGACTAAATGCCTGCATTAAAGAATACATAAAAGGGTCCTTGCTCTCAACAAAATCACAATCCAGCAACTCGGCAGAAAAGAGGATATCACCTACTCAAGCACTTCCTCTTGCTGTCTACTTCCCCTCTTTAAAGTCACAAACATAAACTAATATTAAAATCATAATAAAGATGATAATTCTTCCCTGTAGCCTATATTCTTGAAATTACTTACAGGTCATCTTAGTAGTCACTTTAATATAAAAGCTAAAGTAAAAGAGTCTAGTTAATTCATCTGAACAGTTACCTTAAAAAATAGATATTTGCAAATAAGAAAAGACACCAAGTGTTTCCAAAATATAATTCTATCCTGATATTCATGAACACAAGGCACTCAAGGGTAGACAAGATTGCTATCATCGTTATCATTCACATATAATCTTTTACCAAAACCCCTTGGGAATTTTGGAAGAATTCTTAAAAAGTAACTTTCAATGGTACATCATTTTAACATTAATGAAATATTATAGATGGTTTTTATTTATTTTTTCAAAGATTTTATTTGCTTATTTGGGATAGAGAGAGCACAAGCCAGGGGAGAGAGGGAATCGGACAAGTAGGCTCCCCGCTGAGCAGGGAGCTAGAGGCGGGCCTCAATCCTGGGATCGAGCCAAAGGTAGATGCTCAACTGACTGAGCCACCCAGGCGCCCCATTATAAATGGTTTTTAAATTCTAATTGCTTAGCTCCTTTCTACCTCTAATGCCTAACATTAAACCACAGTAATCTAAAAACAAATAAAAACAATGGGACCCAAGGAATAAACTTCACGTAGGCAACTAAACTAGGTGTTTTGCTTGTTTTTAGAGAGTGTGCACAGAGCCTGTGCAGGGGTGGTGGGGAGGGGCAGAGAGGGAGAGAGAGAATCTTAAACAGACTCTAAGCTCAACACAGAGGCCCATGTAGGGATGGATTTCACAATCCTGAGATCATGACCTGAGCCAAAATCAAGAGAAGGATGCTTAACCGACTGACCCATCCAGGTGCCCCCCTAATCTAGGTTTGAATTCTTATTGTTTGTTGCTTCTGAAATACATTTAAAAGTCCATTTATTTAAAATACCTTTAATGTCCGACGAAAGGATAACACCAATTGAAATCCTTCACGTAAGTGCAAAATTCAAAATGGCACATGGAAAATGTGTAGCCTTTTGGTGTCAAAATGCCTGATCTTACAATAGCACCAGAGATGTGTTCCTGTGATGAGGATTTTGTTAACACGTTTAACACACCGTGATAAATGAGAGTTAGCTGCAGTAGACAGACTTCAGGTGAGACGTACCTAGAGGGCACACTTTACAAGGTTCCTACCAGCTTTAAATTCTGCCACAGGAAAGAAACACTAGGTATAGTTTACCCTGACATTGTTGTTCTTCCTTATCCCATAGTAATTATAACTGTAACATTATCATCATGAGCTCCCTAATATGTGCTAACTCCTTTCTCCAACCCCCCTACAGCTAAGGCTTATACCTTCTTTTTAGAGTCTCATTTTCTAAACAGAATAAACCTATTACCACAATGAAGAAAACACCCTCACCCTCCAGTAATTGTACACCCTACTTGTTATGGACGATGGCTGCTGCAGTCTTGGATGTATTACTATTCTAAGTGCCTAAGACAACTGTGTACGGCTTAGAAGTTTTATGGAACAACCTAATCAAGTACATGATAACCACACTCTTTGTATAAAATACCTACACATTAAAAGATAAAATAAAAGATAAGATCTATACCCACACACTTCAGTCCATTTTTTTCTCTGTTACAACACACTGTGTCCGTTCATCCTTCTACGATCACGCCAATCTATGTGGCTGGGGAAAGATCCACGGCTTCCCCTGTTTCTTCTTCTTTTGTTCCAGGCCCTTCACTTCTTTTCTCATTCTCCACCTCTGTTCCAACCTTTTCTCCTGTCTCACCTGGAAAAGTAACCAAAGGAGATATTAAGAGATGCTCATTTGTCATTAACAATAAAGTACCTGACAGCTGGTTTCCAATGGGGCAGCTTTTGTTCTCTAGGTCTAATTAGTAAGTTTCTCTGGTGGGGTCAAGAGAGGCAATTGCCTTGATTCTCTCAGATCCTCTGAATGGCCGATGTCACTTGACATCTCCTACCTTGCATCCCCCTATATAAAATGAGACTGCAGAATTATCCAAGAAGTGAGAGCAGAACATATTATAAATTAAAAGTCTGTTTATATTTAAATGAAAAGGTGGTCTACGCATGCCCATAAACCTATTTTGTTGGGCCATGATGGTGTTTAAAGAAAACAATCATTAATTGCAAACAGTTAAAAGTCTGAAAAATAAATAAAAGTCTGGACATTGTAGATATAAATTTGTCTCCCGAAGATGTCAGCATGGGCAACACCGGCCCCCATGCTCATGGACAGAGCCAAGAGGCAGCTGCTCTTTTAACACATTGGTGCACCTGTTCACTACCATGCCCAGGGCTCCCCAAGATACAACACATCCCCTCACTTGACTCACTGTCGTTCTCCTAGGCCCTAACAACGCAAGTTTGCTAACCCTAGTCTGACAAATACATGTTTTTACTTGCTCCTACCTTGTTATTCCCAGAGCACTTCTATACACCTTCATTAAAGCACTTACCTCAATAGATTGTGGTAATTGTCTAAATTCTGCCTTCTTCCCACCAGACTGTGAGCCCCTGAAGAACAGGGCCTATCCCTCATCCCTACAGCCCCCGCACTTGGCATATGACTGGGACTCAAAAACTGCTGCTGTGGTCATAAATGAGTTAAGAAGCAGATGAATGAATGCTTTACTCAATTACACAGTAGTATGTAGCTAAAACTCACCAAAATGTAGATCATGGCCTAGAAGACATTTTTTTAAAAATTATGACTGTAATAAGGAACAGTATAGATACCATCTTTTATGCTGGTCAAGTACATTTTAAAAACCCATATGCCAAGAGATGATGCATTGTCTCTAGTCTTCTCATAGGGACGAGAAGCCAGCGGAAGGACAGCAGCAGACTAACAGTGATTTTTTTTTTCCTAAGGATAAATTGGCAAGGATGAAAACTGCCCTGTTCTGTCCATTAGTTGGGCGTTCTCTCATTAGGTGAGTTCCCCGCTAACCACCTATTCATCTCTACTTTGGATCTTCATCCCATACTTGGTCCCAATGAAAAGTAAACTTGGAAAAATTCAGAACTTTTAACACGTTGCCTTCAACATCCAATTGCACTCAACAATGACAACTCCAGGTTAAAAATTGTAGACACAGACTATGCTTTAGAAAAAAATTTTAGGGCACCTGGGTGGCTCAGTGGGTTAAAGCCTCTGCCTTCAGCTCGGGTCATGATCCCAGGACGCTGGGATCTTTCAACACATTGGTGCACCTGTTCACTACCATGCCCAGGGCTCCCCAAGATACAACACATCTGTGCCAACTGAGGCGCCCTGCTTTAGAAAATTTTTGCTGGATCACTTCCCAGCCATTTGGCTAAGACCAAGTGTAGAAAATTTCTGCTGGAGAGCCAAAGGCCTGTTTTCCAGGTATGGAAGCCTTTTTGGTTTGGGTCAAATGAAGTCCAACCACCTCAAACAGAGATCCCCAGGGATGATCTCTCATGCGGCACATCTACACAACCAGCATAAATTTACCTTCAATGTGTTGGTCCTCTTCATTAGTGTGACTTTTCCTGACCATTTCCATATCTGCTCCAATTTCTAGAATTCCCACTGGATGCTCCATGCTTCCAACTATCATTCCTTCAAGTTGACTCTGCTCCATGTTTCTGGGACCTTCGGGAGTTTTCTGGAGCAACTCACTGTTTACAGCTGTTTCCACAAACTGACTTCCTTCCAACACTTCCAGTGTTTCATTCTCTCCGGGAATTGTTTCTAGAGGTTGGGACTGCTCATCTTTTCCCAACGTTTCTTGAAGTTGCCGCTCTCCAGCTGTTTCCACAAACTGACTTCCTTCCAGTACTTCTGGAGATTCCTTCTCCCTGGGAACTGTTTCTGGGAGTTGGGTCTGTTCACCTTTGCCCATTGCTTCTTGAGGTTGTGGCTCTCTGGCTGCTTCCAGAGGAGGGATTTTCTCAGATGTTCCTAGAAGATTCATCTGTCTGGCAGATTGTGGATTCTCAGTACCCTCCACTGCTCCTGGAGAGCCCCTCTCTCCTGTGGCCCTCAAAGGCTTGGTGTACTTGGTGTCTGTTCCTCCAGATTCGGCCTCAGCATTTCCTTGTAAAGGCTGAGCCTCTGTCACCGCTCCCATGTCTTTCTTCTTTCCTCCCAGACCCGGAGTATCATCTTTGCCACCTGGCTGGGGTGGCCCTGACTCCTCGGGTCTGTCTAGAGGCTGAGCCTCTTCTGTGGATGCTGGTGGATCCGCAGCACTGTTTGCCAGGGGCCGTTCACGGACAGATTTAACACCGTTAGCTGTAGACACTGCTGAAATCTTGAGCTTCTCGAAGGGGGGAGGACTTTCCTTTTCCACCTGGCCATAAAGAGTGGATTCTTTTCCCAGTGTCCGTGGTTTGGGTTGGGCATTTTAATCCTGGCCCTTTCTCCAGCTGTGTGACCTTGAAGACTTAGCTCTTAAGTATCTCATCTATAAAATGGCAGTGACTCTCTCTCTCACTACTTGTCTCCAAGCCGCATGAGGCATCACATTAAGCACTGAATGTGAACATGCCCTAGACAGTTTAAGACAAGCAACTTGGCAACATGATTCTACTCTATGACCCAGGAATCCTCCTTCTGGAAATTTATCCTAAAAACATACATGTCAGGAAAAAGCTTTAAATATATCATCTCAGTATTCCTTATAATAGCAAAAGCCAGCAAACAACTTAAAAGTCAAATAATTTGGGGGAAAGGCACATATTCTGCTGGATGGAATATTCATCAAACAAGAATTTGTTCCATGAAAGATGATTATGAAGACCATATGCTAATGTAAGAACATAATTATGATAGAAGTTAAAATTTCAGCACGCACAGTGGGGTTAATCAAATGAAATGATGCATATAAAGCATGTATTAGCACACAGTCTGCTGTGCCCGAAAGTGCTCAGTAAGTTAGCTATCAATTTTATCACAGTATGATTACAGTATTGTTAATCACTGGAAGGGAAAGAGGGGGAAGAGAAAGACAACCACAAACAGAGGGTGAAAATAACTTGGAGGAAATAAACCAACATGTTAAAATGGGCCTCTAGGTGGTATACTTCTATCTTTTCTTCCCCTGAAGATTGTTTTTTTCTTTTCTTTTTTTTTAAGATTTTATTTATTTATTTGACAGACAGAGATCACAGGTAGGCAGAGAGGCAGGCAGAGAGAGGAGGAAGCAGGCTCCCCGCTGAGCAGAGAGCCCAATGCGGGGCTCAATCACAGGACCCTGAGATCGTGACCTGAGCCAAAGGCAGAGGCTTTAACCCACTGAGCCACCCAGGAGCCCCTGTTTTTATTTTCATTATTTTTAATCTTTTTCCCTAAGTTACTCTCCACCCCAGTTACATAGGTGTACATACATCTCATTATCTAATGTGAGATGCACAACTAATATTTGGATCTCCTGGGGCATCTGGGTGGCTTAGTCGTTAAGTGTATGCCTTTGGCTCAGGTCATGATCCCAGGGTTGTGGGATCGAGCCCCACTTTGGGCTCCCTGCTCAGAGGGAAGCCTGCTTCTTCCTCTCCCACTCCCCCTGCTTGTGTTCCCTCTCTTGCTGTATCTCTCTCTGTCAAATAAATAAATAAAATCTTAAAACAAAAACAACAAAAAAAAACCTTGGATCTCCTCTCATTTCCCTAGTGGCAAGTATTTTAATTCATTTAGCTGTATTGGAGGAATATTTTTCTTCTATATCTCTAAGCAAATTGCTAGTTCATAATCTCTCCGTTTGGGCATTTCTGCTCAGTCCCACTATGGAAAATAAAGATGTGGGCTCCTTCTCCCACTTCTGTCACCCCCTACCCTCTCCCTTTACACATTCACATTTCCTTTCAATTCAGCTATTGTATATTAGCAATCATTGAAAATAGGAATTATGTTATTTGGGTAAATCAATACCCAGGTACATGTCCATAGAATGAGTATGTCTGCTAGGAGGAACTGAGCCAAACAGTAAGCTATTACTTTGCATAAATTAGTTTTCATTTCTCCCTGAGTTAATAATGTCATAGTTCTTCCCTTCCTTAGTTTGTGTATTATCATTAACTCAACTCATTGCCAATCATTTCTCTTTTTATTTATTTTTAAAGATTTTATTTATTTATTTGAGAGAGAGTAAGTGAGTGAGTGAGTGAGAGAGAAAGTGCACAAGAGGGTTGGGTCAGAGGGAGAAACAGACTCCCCGCTGAGCAGGGAGCCCAACGTGGGGCTCGATCCCAGGACCCTGACATCTTGACTTGAGTTCAAGGCAGACACTTAACTGACTGAGCTTCCCAGGTGCTCCTGTTTCTCTTTTTAATACATTTGTTCACATCAAATCATCTCCCATCTTGCCTCTGGGACTGGGTTTGAAGCCCCAGATGGAAAGTAATGTAAACTGAGGCTTGGAGCAACAGAGTTTGGGAACTGGGGGCGATTCCAGGCCCTGGCAGTGGGTTCCCCGGGAGTCAGATGTCAGAACAGGGAGAAGGGCTATCCTTTGTCTCTCCCTCAGGTCTCATCATGAATGAAGCTTTCAAATGAATAGCCCTTTGCGCCACTTAACAAAAGGGATTTCTCAGGCGTATAAAGAAACTTCATTATGAGGAGACGATTCATTTAGATCTCACAAGGGATGTTCTGGAGATGGCTGCCTTAGGGAATTAACAGGGAAATGTGTTAATATACTAATCACAGATGTCTGCCAAATTATATTTGCCGGTAAAATAGTTATTACAGTGATTAGTACTGTCAGTTATATGAGACAGACGACTTCCATGCAGCTGGGCCTGCTGTGGGTGCATTCCAGAGGCATCAATCTTCTAGAGGAGAAAGCCGTGAGGGATGTCACAACACACCCCAAACAAAGTCACTCAGTTGTATATTTTGAAAGACATATTACACCATCAGACCCAGCCAGGTTTTTTCCCCAAAATCAAAAGCTTTGTGAAAAGCTCTCTATCCACAGAGTGTCACAAGTGTCCAAGCGATCTATCAATTTTTGCCACATAACTAGAACATCTATGCCCGTGATCACAGTATCAATTTTCATTCTTAGGTATTTTCCTAATCTTACAGATAAACTTGAAGTAGGCAAATGTCCTCAACACAGAACATTTTTATAATACAGCCTGAAAACAGCCAACAAAACTGGGAAATGTTACAGAAGATATGCCATGTCTCTATTATTTTCCTATAGTAGCCCAAAGGAGATAAAACATCTTTAAAATGACCACCAGTGGGGTGCCTGGGTGGCTCAGTGGGTTAAAGCCTCTGCCTTCAGCTCAGGTCATGATCCCAGGGTCCTGGGATCGAGCCCCCAGTCGGGCTCTCTGCTCAGCAGGGAGCCTGCTTCCCTTCCTCTCTCTCTGCCTGCCTCTCTGCCTACTTGTGATCTCTGTCTGTCAAATAAATAAATAATATCTTTAAAAAAATAAATAATAAAATAAAATGACCACCAAGTATTAACTATAGAGAATAAATGATGATTACTGGAGGGGATGCGGCGGGTGGGGGGGTGTTAAACAGGTGATGGGTACTGAGGAGGGCACCAGTGGGGTTGAGCACTGAGTGCTCTTTGTAAGTGATGAATCACTGAACTCCACAACTTAAACTAATATTGCACTGTATATTAACTAGCTGGAATTTAAATAAAAACTTAGAGGAAAAAAGAAATAAAATGAACACCAAAAAAAGAAAGAGAGAGAGAGAGAATGTTCTAAGTATAGTGACACATTCATTTTGTATTTATACTGATTAACTGCATTCTGCTTGAATTTTGAAATGAATGTATTTTGGAGGTCACGGTTCTTAATGAACAGCCCAAAAGTTCTTTCTCTTATGTGACAGAGAGGGTAATCTGTTCTCAAGGAGAGGACAGAGATCATATGACCTTGAAAACAACACCCATAAGGTAGTGGGTCTGAGTCCTGATTCCTGTCCTCACTAGCCTGATGATGGCTCTTTGTGCCTCAGTTTCACCAGCTGTAAAATGGGAACAGTATTAGCAGAGTTGCTGTGAGGATTCCATGTGTCGCCTTGTGAGTGGAAAGCACTAGCTCGTGACTGGCACCGCTGGGGGATAACCCATGTTAACCATCACCGGTATTAGACCTCAGTCGACGGCGCTAGCAAGGAAGAGAGGATGGTAGACAAAAAGAAAAGTAATTTCGTTCATTCCGACTCTGGTACCTTCCTCTAAGCTTATTTAGAAACAAAGAGCAATTGGAGTAAGTAAATGAAACAGTTGGAAAACAAATGGTAGTTTCAAACCACTTCTCAGAGAGTAAAATAATGAAATCCGCAGTCACCACAAACACTTCCCTTCAGGCACCAGATTTCTATCCTTCAGAGGATTTTTATCTCCACACGCTGAGGCAAATATAATTTCTGGTTTTGCTTAACCTCCCCTCTCTTCAGCTGGACCAGTGCATTCCAGACTATTCTGATGTTGGATGTGAATCCTGACTCCACCATTTAACTGACGGTGTGAGCTGGACAAGTTCCTAAGCCCTCAAGAACTCAGTTTCCTTATCTGCAAAATGGGGATATGACAGTTGCCTTTCAGGCCTCTTCACAGAACTGACTGAGGCAATAATGTGTGTAGGTCCCCAACAGAGTGTGTGACGTGAGCAGGTACTTGGTAAACCGAGGGCAGCAACAGCCATGTGGGTGCAGGTTTCTCACCGCAGAGGGTGTCCTGCCGAGGGGCGAGGGAGAGCTGAACTCCAGCCTTTGTGCACCTGCAAAGCGGTGTCAGCGGTGGGGAGGGCATCTTTTTCCAATTTCACAAAGGTCCTTTATGGCCTCCTGGTGGCCTTGCCAATAAATTACAGCTAACATAGCAACGGAAAGAATGAACTGCAACTTCAGGAGCTGGGATAAACATGCCCCTAAACACTGGAAAGTGAAGAAGGTAAGACATCCTTTCTCCTAGCATGCAAACTTGGAAAGCAGTGAGATCTTCGGTCCACCCATAGGAGACATTCTCGGCCTAATCTGTATTATTATGTAATAAATACTGTGGAGGGACGCATTGTTTCCTCATCCAAAGTTGTTTAAAGATGTATGTGTTGGGGCACCTGGGTGGCTCAGTGGGTTAAAGCCTCTGCCTTCGGCTCAGGTCATGATCCCAGGGTCCTGGGATCGAGCCCCATATTGGGCTCTCTGCTTGGCAGGGAGCCTGCTTCCCTTCCTCTCTGCCTGCCTCTCTGCCTACTTGTGATCTCTGTCTGTCAAATAAATAAATAAAATTAAAAAAAAAAAAAAGATGTGTGTGTTTTCTGAACCCTACATTTTATCAAATCATACACTGCTCTGGGCCTAATCCTTTGGTGCTCATTATCTCTCTTGGTTCTGTTGTAAGCTGACCTGTGCACAAATTTATTGTGACAGCTG